TTGAAGTTTTTAATGGACATATTTTGGAGTGGAAAGAATAGAATAAGCAAACAATCAGGGTGTCTGTATTTGTAATTTGTATTATGTATCTTGTAAACAAGACATACACATAAGTTTTCAATAAAACGAGATTACATATGATACATGGGATTATAAATTTAGTACCTTGAGGTTCTAATTCTCAAGTCTCAGTTAGTGTATATATTGAAAGCTTAGCTTTAGAGGTTATTTACATATTTCTGTTGAATGAAAATTCATATTTGGTTAACTAGACAAGTTCTATGTGTTCTGTTGTTATGCACGTAGATAAATGGTTTATCACGAATGAACAGAAGATCATTTATCAGTAACTTGCGAAACATAAAAAAATTGGTTCACAACCTATATGGAAATTGAACAAGCCATAGGAATGGTTGTAGTGGCAACCATGCAGTTGGACTTGACTGATTAGTTGCATTAGTATATTTGTGTATTGAACGAATCCCGGAGTGAAGCAGTTTGTTTTATACTGATCGTCGTAAACGAACTAAGCCTCGACTAATTACTGCATTCTCTTAACCTGTAAGATATAAACATGCACATGGATGTAGTAATTACTACTTTGATTCATAACGATGAGGTTCATTTTGTCAAGATTAATAACTGGTTGAGTTGGGTAGTAATGTTGCATACGTGGTGTGATGTTAAAATATTTACAGTCATCATCTGCATCAGCTTGATGATGTTTCTGAAGTGAGCTAAGAAGGATTATTATATTAAACCCTGCAGGTGGATTAAGTTCCGACATAATAATATTAAATTGAGTAGTGCTAGTTTCGGCACAAGAGATCAATTGATTGGATTGCCAATAATCGAATCGATTAATAGACATTATATCTTAAACATTGTGAGGTTATTCGAGTAATTATGAATCTCAGCTCAAATCATAATTTGAAAATTAAATTGAGAGTTTTAATAATATTACTTTAGTGGAATGATTCATATATGAGCAGAGTGGGCTTGTCCCACAGGTGGGCCCATATATGAGGAGACCAATTTAATGCTCCTTAGGGTCCCTATTGTATCATATATATACACACCTCTCTTATTGTTTGGAAGACATCTGTACACATATGAATCTTAGTACTTTGAGAGAGATCTAGATTCTCCTTCCCACCAAGAGAGTTGTAGAGGTGTTAGGAATACAATAGAAGATCTTTTTGTAGTCGAGCACCCGATCATCCGACCTAGCACCCGACCACCACCGCCATGTCCGTGCCCAACCGAGACACACGCACCAGCCCTAGACGCCGACCCGCGATGCGTATGGCCAACCCGTACGCACTCTGGAGACCAATGAACACCGCACGCCCGCAGTCTGTGATAGAGCCCGCACGCGCGATGTCGTCCGCGACTGCCGCACACACGTGTAATCTCTAGATGACTCCGTGCTTCCGAAGTGGTGAATTTTCAGCGAGTGGAATCAACTGATCTCCATCAATGGAAATCTACAACGTATCAGGGTCTGTGTAGACATGGCCAAGGGTCACCCGACCCCGCGACCCGGCCCTGACCCTGCACGGACCCGGCCCGGTCAAACTCTTTGACCACGGGTCCGGGACTGGCCCGGATTTCAGACGGGCCATGTAAGGGTCATCCATTTCATGACCTGGCCCGGAGGGTCAGGGCCGAGCCGGGTCAACGATCCTTCTTTTCAATTTTTTTTTTTCTTCTTTTCCACTGTTTTTTTAAAAAGCACGGACCCGACCCGGACCCGGCACGGCCCTAACACGACCTGACCCAGATACGGACCCGACACGAGTATAGGTCCGTGCCGCTTCAGGGTCAGTGTTTTCGAGTCCGGCGACCCGGTGGGTCGGGCCGGGTCGTGACCCGGACCGGGTTTTGGCCATGTCTAGGTCTGTGAAACTTTCAGCCGTAAGTTTTTCTACGTTAAATTTTAGATCCGCTGTGCATAGGTTTATGCGTAGATTAATTTGTGGCTTTCACAATACGACAATCCTCATAAATCCAAAAAGCCTCGAAAGTAAGCACTATCTCTCGATGTTTTTTCATTGACAATAGCCTAGCGAAGTAACGAAACAAAATTAATTAAAGAACAAAACGAACAACTTCAACAAGCAAGAGTTCTTGATAGGAAAAAATAAGGTATGAATATCCATCTGAACTGGAATTAGTCAATGTGCACAAGCATACAAATAGTAATAAAAAATAAAATGAAAATAATAAAATGCTCATTGCTTGATAAGGTACATCACATTTGGTGATCAAGGAGAAAACTGTCTCGAAAATCGATGAATCATTTTTTTTTCTCTCAAAATGGTTGGAAAATTTTCTAAAAGTCTATATCTCAACAGAGCTATTTAAATGTACCCTTCATTACAATGGAAAACTTTGGGTATATATAACTATAACAGAACGAGTCAAAGAACTACTTATATTACTACAATAAATTTAGCGCATTACGCGAACTTTTATTGTGCTCGGTGTCTCAAACAAGTAGCTGCAACACCATACATAAAGTTTCATCATTTTACATTTTTAACAACTTTCAATTAGCATCAAACAGGTGCCAATAAGTGGTGTTTGTTGGTATATGTGTCCTAGAGACAATCTTTTTGAGGACATATATACATGATCACATTAATAATTATATTGGATTATAATTATGGTATTGCAATTAATTAAATAATTGTTTGATTGTTTGCAATTTATTAATTAATTGCTCCATTGAGTTAATACTGTCATTAACAGAGTGAGATGATAATTGATAAAGTATAACTCTCAAATAGCATCAATCGATGATCATTAAGAAAGGGATATTAATGATATGCGATAGATTGACATGTGGTCTGCATCACATTCTTGGAGAATATAGTATGTCTCATGCTATGAATAATTGTTATTCGTGATAGACACATGGATACTTTAGAGAGTATTGGCATACCCTATCGATAAACCATTTGTTTATGTGTCTATGGAAGTATCAGTGTGTGGAATGGTGTAATAATCCTTTGACTTGAGGTCAATACGCAATTCATGTATAGAGTGATTTACTTAGACCTAGTTCAAAGCTTACGCTCTTATGGGTAGATAGCTTGTGTTGGGTAGATCACGATATACATGGAATTGGTAGTTGAGCCAAGATAGGATTCATTCCTCGAATATAGTTTCGAGAGAACACTCGTTTTTCTCTATACTGGGTTGATAAAGTCATTGGCCAAATGCACGTGAGATTATATTTGAAATGGTGTTCAAATATAATTGATAAAATCAACCAGTGAGATGAGATAAAATGATTAAGCTGTTTGGATAGACACACGTTCAAATCCTAAGCTTAATCGAGTGGTTCGTGAATGAAGGGATCGTATCACTATTAAATTCTACACCAAAGGCTTGTTTTCTGTCTATGTAAACGTACTTCGTATTTTGAGTTCGTCCTTCGACGCAGTCTAGGAGTTTCGTAAGGATCATAAATTAGATTTATGTCAATATATGAAGGCCTATAGGGTCACACAATATGCAATCTATATTCCGGCTAAGAGTGAATCGAGAGTGTTAAAATATTCAATTAGATTGGAATATTTATTTTTTCGTAATGAGATTATTTTCTATTAGATAGAAAATATTTAATTAAGTTAAATTAGATTTATACTTAATTAAATAATTAATTGGATTAGGTCCAATTACCTACTGGGCTAGGTTATCCTAAAGCCCATATAATTAGGTTTGACTTAATTATAAATAGGTCAATATCTTATTGTAATCTTTGACCATCATTAGATGAGAGAAGAAAGATACATCGTAAAATAAAACACTCTAACTTTCTGAATCGAGGATTCCTAGCTTCTTCACCGGAAGGGATTCATTGGTGTTATATCGTGCACAGGGAAACTGGATTGCGTGGATACCATAGTCGAGGACAAAAGACGAATAACTGTAAGTTTTCGTATATCATTCACGCGATCTAGGATCATATCGAATAGCTATAGTCGGATCGTCGTTGTTGGTAAGAAAAATTTTAAAATTCCGCTGCGCGTGCGATTGATTCGTACGTCTAAAATCCAACAGTGTTTTCATCAATGAATCCAAAAGAGAAATTTGATAAAAATATATATAGAACAAACCCAAGAGTATGATAGGATTATGCCAGAGAACTAAAATATCTTTTAAATCCAGGGAATTATTTGTTTATTTGGAGATCAAGAGAAGATAGACAACCACTAAGCTAAGTTGTAACTTGGATTAATATGGTGTTTATTACTATGGTTTGTTAAATTAAATAAAGTTAAAGACAAATGTAACTCTTTGGTTAATTCTGAGGTAATTATACCATAGGAATCCATTTTCTCTCATTGTTTTATATCCTGGTTTTAATCATGATTTGAAATTACGCAAGTTATAACTTAATGTTAACTCATTATCTAAATTAGTACTGATTTAAATAATAATCAATCATCATTATTGTTGTATTTTATTCGTCTAACTCAAAGTCATGTGGAATACGATCTCGCTCATGATTGTTACCTACAATTACCATTCACAATTACGTATGGTTAAATATATTAGAAAACACTCTTGTGATATAAATACAGCTACTTGATTGACTTGTAGTCAGTACCTTCATAATTTAAATATATTCCTCAATTTATTAAAAAAGACTATATGCATTTATTAGAAAAATGATTTGCTTTATAACTTTAAAAGACGGAATTAATTGAAATTTTCCAATTCGAACATCGTTACCTCTAACCCCAGATGGAACTAATAATATTCATCTTTTTCCTGTGTTTCATCAGATATTACTGTAAGAGCATGAAAAAGTTCTTGAAGAGGGTCGATTTCAACATGCCGTTGGCCAATAATTGATCCCACCAAGCAAAAGGGAAAAAAAAGGGTGAGAGCTCAGGTTAAACGATATATATATGTCAGAAAATAAATACATATTAAATGCCCTTCGGTGTTAAATAACCCTACCCGCCTGCATTAATGACCCGTACCCTACCCGGGGGACCACTAAAGTTTTCATGTGAAATTCGTGGTTTTTGAATGGGCACAAAATAGCCTGGCCCCTTTAAATAATTATTATTATTATATTTTTTGTCCAAACGTAACCAAGCAAATTTGTGTGTGACACGTACTTAATGTATTGATGCTTGTAATTAAAGGCGAGATGAGGGCTAATTGAGAAAATCATTTAACGATTAATTAGTTTAAGATGATTAAAGAGTGATGATTAAAAAGTTATCAAAGCATGTGGTATGAATTTTGATTGGGATTGGACATAAAGATAGCTTGATGTGGCCACCGTACTGCATTTTACTCTGATTAACCAAACATAGGATAGCCTTACTACCGTATTTTACTCTGACTAATTAATTGACGAAACAGATTAGTCATTCTTTTGTATATTTCATTATGATTAACAAAAAAGATAAACATGTGATTGAATCCTGTTTTCTAAAAAATAAAAGTTCAGTCCCCTACTGCTACCTTCAAATAATTGTCACGGAAGTATGCCTGTAAACCAGTTGAGCCCAGTTCGAGCTTAGGTTGTTTGAACTTGAACTCAAGTCCTTAATGAGTTGAATCGAGCTCGGCTCGTAAAATAAACGAGCCAGAAATGAAGCTCGAGCTTGACTCGTTTATCACTATTAAAGAGCCGAGTTCGAGCCTTAACGAGTCAATTTCGAGCTTTAACGAGTCGAACTATAGAAAATATTATAAGAATTCTCTTTTCGAGCATTAATGAGCCTTATCTAAACTCGGCTTTCCAACAAAATGAGCTTTAAATGAGCTCGAGCCCAACTCGTTAACTAAATGAGCTCGAGCTTGGCTCGTTAAGGCCTCGAGCACGAGCTGAACACGAACCTTAACGAACCAAGACAGACTTGTTTAATTTAACAACACTCAACAAAAAAATTAATGGTATCATATAGAGATATCAAGCCTGTATTTTCAGTATCATACCGACATTGGATAGTCTTTAAAAGCTATTACAAACCTAAATGAACTATGACGCTAGTGCGCATTATTTTAATGGTTTGATTATTTATCATGTTAAATATAATCTAAATATTTCGGGAATTGCAGATATTTATTTCCTTCTTTTGAATTATCATAAACTTCCGGTTAAGGAAACAAAAAAAATAAAATAAAAAACAAATAAATATGCGGGCGTTGGTGGTATTATATATAGAGTCGTGTATATAAACTAGCCTTACTTGTGCTAGAGTCCCTTACTCCCAACCACACTACCCTTATGTACCTACATAACACAACTTTTTCTTCTTCTCCACTACCCACCAAGGCAACACCTTCACCCAAGTATGGAACAAAATCACCTTCTCACCACCTCCTCCTCCGGCGGCCCCTCGACCTCCACCTCCACCTCCACCTCCTCAACGAGTATCACAAACGAAGCACAAAGTACAACTAGCCTCACAACGTCGATCTCCAAATCTAACAACAAACTCAAGGAGCAAAAACGCCGCCAACCTAAGGCGGCCGCAGACTGCGAACACACGACGTACCGTGGAGTACGAAAACGGAGTTGGGGGAGATGGGTTTGCGAAATCCGCGAACCGAGAAAAAAGTCGAGAATATGGCTCGGGACATACCCGACTGCCGAGATGGCCGCGCGGGCCCACGACGTGGCGGCCCTAGCCATCAAGGGCCGGTCGGCCTACCTCAACTTCCCCCACCTGGCCCACGAGCTTCCACGCCCGGCCTCGACCCTGCCCAGGGACATCCAGGCAGCGGCCGCCAGGGCCGCTGCTCTGGACGGAGACCCGGAGTCGCGGGCTGGGCCGGGCCTCCCGAGCTCGGGCTCGTCCACGGATTTGGCGTCGAGGGAGTCGCCGGACTCGGCTTCCGAGGGCAGAGGAGAAGAGGACGACACTTTTTTCGACTTGCCAGATTTGCCCCTTGATGCGTCCTCATGGCAGGTGATGGGTGGGAGTTATCACATTGGATTCCGTCCTGAAGATCCGTTTTTGTTGGAGTATTGTTTGTAGGAGCAATTATTTTTCTTTTTTCTTTTTTTTTTTTTATGTCACAACTTTTGTTTTTTAATTTTAATTTATATAAATTTTATATATATTTTGATTAGTGAGGGTCGATCAATCGTCGAATAAAAATGTGGTGGAAGTGAAAGTTTGCGCCGAGGTGAGTTAATTTCTTGGAATCTAAAGTCAATTCTGTGTCAGTATAAGTACTAAATTCAAAAAATTAATGGCTAAATCGTTAAGTCAAATGTCATAGGACTTGTTGCAATGTAATTAATTTCGTTAGAGTTTTAATAGTTTTAATTGTTCTTATTTTAATGTAGTACTAGTATATGTCATTATTTTACTTGAATAGTTTTCCTGAATGCGTGCATATGTGGATATTAACTTAAATTAATTAATGTGTTTATCAGTCTAAATGTGTTAGTGAATAATTAAATGAGGTTTCTATATTTGAAAGTGTAAATTCATTTATTATATATGTCTGCCAACAGAGTTTAACCAAATTTCCTGAGCACGTGTTTTCAACTAATCTTGTCGTGTCCTTTTCAGTACGTCCAAAATACATCAATAATTGTCATTTAATTCTAGTCCACCCAGTTAGTTCGTAACAGTGGTGTCATGAGTTTAAATATGCATGCCACAAAAAAAATAAATATTATTACCTCCTATTCTTTTTAAATGTCATTTTGGCTTTATCAACTATTAACCAAAATAAATGTCGTTTTGGATTTTTTATACATATTTTTCCATTATTACCCTCATTTAGTTAAAAAATACACTACGTCTTTTCATATTCTCTTCATCTTTTTTTAAAACATCCATCTCTATCTTCATTAATGAGGGTTATTATTGACAAAAAAATTATTCTTAATTAGTGTGCAACTTTCAAAACGACATTTATTATGAATAGGAGGGAGTATTATAATGTGATGTTAGAAGAGTTAATCCATTATATTGTCTATTTATACAAAAGTATATATCTATACTTATATAAAAAGAATTACTATTTATTAAATCTATCATTATAAAAAAAGAATAATTTTTTTACAAATTTAGAAACCTTTTTCCCGCCAAAATCATTATATATTCTACATATAGTAATTGTTGGACAAATCTGAATAGACAAAAAAATCGGCTCATTAATTGTGTAAAGATTTGTTTATCTTTTTCCTGGTTTTAGTTTATCAAAACTATTTTTAGTATAAATATACACGAGCTTATTTCTTCTGTTACAAATTTTCATTGCACACGTATGCTTAAAAAATCTCATCCCTTATCTATACAGATTTGAAAAAATAAAATAAAATATAAACCAATTCATAATTACTACTAAAAATCCATTATATTTAAAAAGAAAAAATAGAATAAAATAAAAATCAATTCATAATTACTACTAGAAATCCATTATCTTTTTTAAGAAGCTAATTTTCATCGGTCTAATTACTAATATTTTTACAAATATTATAAGCTAACCATAAAAAAAAGTATAATAATAATTTTGAAATGGTGTATAATCAAACTTTTTTATATTCTCTTATACAAAATAATTTTACATTGTTTGACCCTAGATTTTTAATTTTTAATTATTAAGTATTGTTTATCCTCCTCTTTCATATATAATTTTCTTTTCTTTCTCTTTTTAAATAGGATCGATAGTAGTTTCCACTTCCGTCATTGAGTGACTCAAACTCGAGGTCTATTTACAATATTTTTAAATATAATATTGTTCCCGTGCATCGCACGGGGTACACACTAGTTCATATTATAAAATATTATAATTTATTTTTATTATTATTATTATTTTTAAAATATAATTTTAATATGAAATTATATAATAAATATAAAACTGCATAATAATTAGCATTACTGTACAAAAACATATTTAAAAGTTGAAAGTGCTAGGTAGTCTCGAAATCAGCCACATGCTTATTTTTCCTCCTTTTTCTTTTTAACTTGTTTCACAACAAAGGTTAACATTCACCGAAGTCATTATCACCTATGGTCCATATATGTCATTATTAGGGTAGAGAGGCAACAATTCAATTTATTAAGCTTGTATAAAACTTTCCAACAATGATTATGATTTCATTAGCTAATTGTATAATAGTAAATCCTCCTTTCAAAATAGCAACAAACATACATGTCAATCAATGAGATGTTTATGTAGATGCACCGTTTGAGTATGAAAGTCCTAATTAATTCACTTTTATGCACTCAAAATTCCAGCATTTCAACCAAGATTTAATTGATCGTCTGTATTTTCTCTCTACCAAAATAATATCAAATTTCGATCTCAATATATTTTAATGTTGTGTCTCGCGTAGTTGTTGATGGAAAAAACAATTCCATCAGCAATTTCTATAACATAAACAGTTGAAAAAATATTGTTGGAATCATCAAATTAAAAATAAAATACTAAGAAAATAAGTAGATCTATTGAAATTTGATATTTCTTTTAGCCTCAATATAAATATAGATACTAAATATTCGGAACCTATATGTATGAAAAATAAAGGGTAGCACCATTATTACAATCTTTAATCCTACTTGAAAGTGACAAATGACCTCAGCATACCAATTACGAACTGATCATGTCCTGAATTAATTAGTCTATAGTTCAATCATTAGGCAAATTGGCAAATTTTATTGATTCAGGGAACATTAGCAAATTCCAGGGGCAAAGTTGATCTCATTGGCCCCTACCAAATCTTGCACTATGCTATAATAAAAAGTTTACAATATACTTGGACCCATATGAAAAAAAAGCACCCCCTCTTGGACATCAAAACAAAAGGTTAATTATTTTAGGATATAAGCTGTTGTAATATAATCAAAATATATTTGGTCCATCCCTTCAGGAACAGGTAAAATCCAAAACTTTCATTTGGAATTTCCAATCATAAAATGATGCTAGCTAGGGTAATACTAAATTCATATGCAATGAGGGGGTCAATGTGTAATGTTTTAGTTAGCTTTATCCAGGGCGGACGCATACTCGAAAGGCTAAGGGCACAAATATAATTTTTACAAAATATAAAAAAAAAAGTATTTATATTCTGCATGTTATTATATATTATATCACTCATGATTACATAAATTCGAATCTCATTAAATATATCTTTTTCAAATACTAACATTTTTTTTTCTTTTGCATTGGATATTCTTACAACGTCAACATTCGTGGACTTCTTTATAATAAAGATAAATATTTTATTAGTTAAAAAATCAATGACAAACACAATTTAGAAGTTAATTTTAAACATATAATTATAATTTAAGAACACCTAAAATTCAATATGTATCAAAATCGATATTGAATTTTGTGGAAAATTGATGTAACTCATTTATATATGTTGTCTACAACATAATACAAATACATAATGCAAACAACATAAATTTTAAAAATATTTCCTTATAATTAATTTACAATATAGTTATATATGTACTATTTTTTTTTTAAATTGCACAGGGGCCCGTGCCCCTACGGGCCCCCGCCTAGGTCCGCCAAGCTCATGAATAAACCATCAATTAAAATTTCCAACAATGTAGATATTAATTTATCTATTTTTCAATATTTCCATTTTGTTGCGTTCAGCTATGCAGGTGGTGTCAGCAGTTTTTATGCCCATATCATGTACGTGCTAGATCTATGGCATTAATTGCCTAAGGTAGAGAAGCATCTATTCACTCTAATGAATTGAAGACCATAAATTAAATATTTTTTTTAGGGTTTGTTTTGAAAAACAATTTTAGTTTAGGTAGTCAATTGTGTAACAAGAAAACAGTACGGTATGGACAACTCATAATGTCTATACTACATCTGTAATGCTACAGTCAATCAGGCACACAAATCAAATTTTTTAATACAATATATATATATATATATATATATATATATATATGTATGTGTGTATACTTTACAATAAAAATATCATGCTTTAAGAAATAATATAAATAAAATAATTATATTTTACATTATAAATAAATAGTTTCTTTACATCACGACAGTGTTATTAGGTCATCTCTGAGAGCAAAAAAGGCCTGAAACAATCGAGCACACTTTTTTCATTGTTCTAAAGCTAAAAGACTCTGGCAGACAGGCCCAATCCAATGGGATGGTGTGTGTGACCCTGGAAACAGTTTCTGTTCATGGTAGTGTCCAGGAACAATTGGACCAAGAATTGATAAGCTCTTTGCCTCTTTTCTCTCTCATCTTTCCCCTCTTTTCTCTCTTTCTCTTTGTCTATGTGCGTTTTGCGATTTGCGTGAAGTGCCCAGAGACACTCTTATTAAATTTGTTTAAATGTTAATTAAATCCTTTATTATTGCTTTTTTTGGGAAATTCACATACTTAAACTCCATATAGGAGTTATTTTCACAGATACGATCAATAGAAACATTTATCAAAAAGAGATTTGACAGAGATATTATTTTCACAATTACGATGATAGCTACAAATTTGTTTCTCTCTCCACTCCGTTGCTTCTCATTTCAATAAATTTGTTCCTCTCACCAAAATAAAAATAATGCCATTAATATACATAAGTTAAACAATTCCAAAAAATTTGTTTCTCTCACCAAAATAAAAAATAATGCCATTAATATACATAAGTTAAACAACATGTAAATTGACCGTATAATTGTACATAAGATAAACAACATGTAAACAACACTACGGGATAAAACATAATACACAATTTGAATGATTCCAAATATATGTTCAGATATACTGTATATATACATCAGATAAACATGATCTGGTAGTTCTCTGATATTAACTGTATAGTTATACATAAAATAAACAACATATAAACATCTCTGAAACGGGATTAAACATAATACACAATTCTTAATGATTGCAAAATCCAAATCGAATGTAGTTCTACATAAGATAAACAAACATATGAACAATTCTAAAACGGGATAAACATGATATACCTTGACATTCAAAAAAATGTAATCAACAATCTTAATCTTATCCCTATTAGCAATATCAACTTTCTTCTTGCGAGGTACTAATTCTTTCCTTCAATGACTCACCCGAGGAGGACTTTGTTCTTCATCGTCGGGTTTGATATAAAATCACCGTCCCCTGTCAAGTTTTGTTAGGGTAATTTACCAGATAGCTCGATTGTTTGCTTTTTTCGAACCTTTAGTTGCAAAACTTCTGGTGAATTTGAGCTTTTTTGGAAGCTTCTCGGTTTTACCAATAATGGTCGTTTCTTCGTCATTGACGAGCCTCTGCAATAAATAAATAGGATTTTATGCTTGGTGTATGAAGATGATATATGTAACAGAGAAATTTGGAAAGATGATGGTGGAATTAACGAGTCTTCAGTCCGGGCCTCGTGCGTTGCACCGCCGCGCGTAGCCCCACCAAACTGGACCTCCATGGATCCATAATTGAAAGGTAATTTCTAAAATTTGGGAAATTGTGTCTGTGAGAAATTGTAGAGAAGAAATTGGGCAGAGAAAGAACGAAAAAAAGAAGAAAGACATTAGGGTGCCAGAGAGAGAGACGAAAGAACGAAAAAAAGAAAGAGATAAGGGTGAGAGAGAGAGAGAGAGAGAGAGATTAACAAAGGAAGAGGGTGAGAGAGAGAAAGGGACGATTCCTACAATTATGCAAGAGAATAACTTCCATGTATACATCACACTTGCTTTATTTAATAAAAATTCGTAATTTTGAATATAACTTACATATTTTGTAGATTTAATAATATTTAGCAGAGAAGGAGTAAGGGGAGTAATTTTCTCTCTTTATATATAATATTATATATATATATAGGCCCTTTTTATCTTTATTTTTTGTCCCACACAGGTCTACATATGCCTACGCTCGTACCTTTAACCAATTTGTAGGTTTCAGGGGATAGGGATAAAATTGAGAGGGTGAGTGACCTTATTCTTTAGGGTTCTTGTTAGAATATCACTTGTGAGTTGTCCCACATCATTTATACATGGGAAATAGATCCATCTTATAAGTCTAATGGGCTACTCCTCCTTCCACCAATTGGTTTTGGGATGGAATCCCACTTGGGCATCATATGGGGTTTCCCCGCTTTGATGCGCTTCATGTTAGTGGGACCGCACCCGTTTTTTTTCCCCCAGTTTCTGTCATGGTATTAGAGCTAGTTCTATTGGTGACCGTGCGATGGCGTACCCGCCACCCAGCCTTGTTGGACTTGGGCTTTCAAAGGACTCACAAGTGAGGGGGCGTGTTACAATATCACTTGTGAGTTCTTAATAAACGATTTTATTAGGACTATGCAATGACGTACCCGATGACGTACCCATTTACCCAGCATGCTTCTAGTACGGCTTGGGCCCACGTACCCGTTTATGGGAGCCTGTAAGGCTTGGGTCCACGTACCCGTTTATGGGAGCCTATTTCTAGTTGGGCTTGGGACACCCAACTCTATATATGGGCTTGGGCTTCTTATCAAGAACTCACAAGTGAGGGGGCGTGTTGGAATATCACTTGTAAGTTGTCACACATCGTTTATACATGGGAAATAGACCCACCTTATAAGTATAATGGGCTACTCCTCCTTCCACCAATTGGTTTTAGGATGGAACCCCACTTGGGCTTCATATGGGTTTTTCCGCTTTGGTGCGCTTCATGTTAGTGGGACCGCATCCATTTTTCCCCCAGTTTCTGTCAGCTCTAATGAGTGGGATAAAAAACTTATTTTGCAGACTTTTAATCCACTGGATGGTGAGATCATTTTACAGATCCCCCTCAGCCATTTTGGAGTATTTTCCGACGTAGCACTGGGGCAAAAAAGGACTTCTGACAATGAAGAAAGTGTATGAGGCAATCAGGAGAAAAAGGAGACAATCTGGTCAGGAAACAGGGCCAAGCTATAGTAATGTTGAGGAGAGGAGGATGTGGAAAACTACCTGGGCACTACGAATTAAAAGCATGGTTAAATTCTTTTTATGGAGGTGTTGGGAAGGGTTTGTGGCCTCAAAACAACAACTGAGGAAGAAGGGTGTTGCCTTGGATACCGTTTTTGGTTTGTTTGGAGAATAAGAAGAAAGTATTGATCATATGTTTCTCTATTGTCCATCTGCTTCTCTGTGCTAGAAATTGAGTGGATTACATCCGAGTCAATTGGATGATATAGAAGTAAGCTTTCAAGCCTAGTGGACTAGCATCTGCTAAATTGAAGATCAGAATTGCAAATCTGAGAGACTCAGCTTTTTAGCACTTGTGTTGTGGGGAATTTGGATGAACATGAATGCTTGGCAGCTTCTTACAGAAAGGAGGTTGGAGTCGGATATTGTGATGGAGGCTAAAGTTGATGGTTGGAGTTCCTGGATCTTTATGAAGGCTTAGAACAGGAAAATATGACTACTTATACAACTATAAGATCTCATGTAGAAAATTTTTCCAGGAAGTAGGACACGTGGCTTGTTTTGTTAGTTCCCTAATTTCTATGGGAGTAAACATAGATGTTGGGTGTGTTACTGAACAGGATGGTAAAGAATTGGCTCATTGGTCTTCTGTGTTAGAGGGAGGATTCAGAACGCACAATCTCTCCTGCTAGCTGTTAGATTGAACTTGCAGAAAGTGAAAGCCCTTCAAGTTGACAACTTGGTGTGTAGCATTGTTGATCAAGAGGTGACAAACTGTGAGCAGTTTGAGGGAAAGACCTATTGTTCTTGACATCTTAAGGCTTTTTGAGGGTTTTGTAGATTTTTTTTTTGTTTTTTTTTTGTTTTTGTTTTTGACCCTGGTGTGCGTGTTTCTAGCTTGGTGTTAGCTAAGATCAACTTCAGCGCCGTGCTAGATGAGAATATATCGCTGAAGTTGTGCTAACTTTGTTCTCTAGTGGAGCGCTACAATTTTGCGCCAGATTAAATATATCCACGGTGTATCTCTACATCTGGCGCAACACTGTTGTGGTTGCGCCAGATTTTTTTTTTCTTTTTTTATTATTATTTTATTTATATATTTTGTATGATTTCTTATGATATGTATATATACATACATATGTATATATATTATTGGTAAATTATGTTATATAATTTTGTATTTTTTATATATTGATGTATTATACTTTTATTTTGTATTTTTTTAAATATTAAAATAAAATCATATGAAAAAAATTTACCACAAACATTTATATAAGATTACATATTCATATTTATACCAACTTATTTAAAATAAAAATAAATAAAATATATTTTTATTTTTTAAGTAATAAGCATTTTTATAAAATTAAATATACATATATATACGAATTCATTTGAAAAAATAATAAATAAAATATATTTTTATTATTTGGCTAGTAAATATTTATATAAGATTAAATATACATATATATATACCAATTTATTTGAAATAAAAAATTAAAATAATATATTTGGTGTAGAGTAAAATGTAGAGATGAAGGTAGGAGATATGAATGTTTAACTCTACTATATAATAGAGTAATGTCCGCGCTAGAGTAGAGAAAAAGACTGAAGATGACCTAAGTTGGTAATTGAGGGAGTATATGTTGTGTTAGTCCAGGTAGGTGTGTAGTTCTTGACGTTCTTTTACTTTGGGATTGTTTGTATCCAGTTGGATACTCATTTGTAATAAGTTTATTTGAGTTTTGCAATATTAATAATGGGTGCGGATACTTGCACTTTCTTCGTTTTTGTCAATTCAGTTTCAATATTTCGTTTATGCCTTTTCTTTTCGCTCCTTTGGAACATGATTTACTTGGCGGATTTCAACTTTTAAAAGTTCATTCATAACAATAAAGTGACTGGCGGATTTGAAAAGGAACAAACAAGTGAGAAAAAATAAAGAACACTGTCTTTCTTTCGAGTGGAAAACAGATCAATGGATCAAATTACTTTCCAACAAGGTATTATAGGCTATAGCTACTCTACAGTGCTGCTTTTGAGCATATTATCTTCACATTAACTTTATAAAGTAATATCCACAAATATCATCAAAAAATATAATGCAATATTGTAAGATAATAATCAAATTCTAACGTTGATAAGTTCCAACATAATTCAAACGTCAAGTTAAATAAATGTCCCAGTGAATTATCCTATGTAATAATTCACGTTGGAAAAATTCAACAAAAATATCATGTGGGAATTAGTTTAATTTCTACTCAAGTTTCTGTTTAATTTTTACAATTTGGACGATATCTTTTCGAACGGTTGAATTATCTTTACAACTCTAACAAAATTAATTGTGTATTCATTAAATTCTTTTACAATAATGACGTTGGAAAACTGTTGTTGGAATTATAAAATTCAAATTGAAATTTTAAAGAAGATTTAAATTAACTCAACTAAAAATTTAATGAATAAAAATAAAAATAAATAAATAACAGCAAAAGCTAAGGACTAAAATTGAATTTTCTTTCCCGTACTATATATGCCATCAACAATACCATTCAATTACCAAAGTTGATATGACAGAATTGAAAGTGGCTCTTAAATTGTTCCATAATCCATTTGCCATGCCAACTACACGTTTCTAATTTTACCAAAGGCTACAGACTTATAGAAAGCTAAATAGGACCATGTTACGTTACAATAGCCACGCAATGATAGGAAAAAGGAAAAAATGCAATTGAATGCAAACTGCAGGGTGCAACGAATTTCTACATTTGTTTCCATATCATAAGTTGCACGGAACTGGACCTTCTATCAGTGAAGGTACATTCGTGCTATACAGTATTATAAAAGATTTATAAAATTGAATTTTTAAATTAAATAACCAAAAAATTTCTCTTATCATAAATATGCCAAAATCGTAATACGATAAATCCTAGGAAAAACTAAGGATAACGAACTTCAAATTAAAACTCTAAAAGCTAAAAACATATAGAAAATAGAATGATGAGAACTATATCTTTTGGCTCAAAACATATTATATCAGATAATTTGACACATTTTTATATTATTTTATTTTATTTTTAAATTGAATTTACTAATCATTTAACTTCGTTCCCACTATTAAATTGCAATTAATTAACTGAAATACTAATTTTTAAATAAATTTAATGGGACTGCTGGAGACTGGAAAGGAGATAGTGATGAGTAACAAAATGTACTTTATATATGTTAGAATATCACTTGTGAGTTGTCCCACATCGTTCATATATGGAAAATAGACCCACCTTATAAGACTAATGGACTACTCCTCATTCCACCAATTGGTTTTGGGATGGAACCCCATCTGGGCTTCATATGGGCTTTTCCCTTCTTTCATGGTGTCCTTCATGGTAGTGGGCCAGCACCCATTTTCCCCCAGTTTCTGTCATGGTATCAGAGCCGGTTCTATCTTGGACCGTGTGATGACGTACCCATTGTTTATCCCCCACGTACCCGTTTATGGGAGCCTGTTTGTAGTAGGGCTTGGGGCACCCAGCCCAGTTGGGCTTGGGCTTTCGAAGGACTCACAAGTGAGGGGGCGTGTTAGAATATCACTTGTGAGTTGTCCCACATCGTTCATATATGGAAAATAGACTCACCTTATAAGACTAATGGGCTACTCCTCCTTCCACCAATTGGTTTTGGGATGGAACCCCATCTGGGCTTCATATGGGCTTTTCCCTTCTTTCATAGTGTCCTTCATGGTAGTGGGCCAGCACCCATTTTCCCCCAGTTTCTTCTATAAATCGAACAATGTATCAATCAGTACAACATTCTTACAAAAATATTGATAAAGCTACAACGGATAAAACATTCTTGACATGGCATCCTGATTAATTAAGCTACAATCGATAACTGTTAGAATAATTTTGTGAATATTGTATTTTTGAACAGATTTAATATATTAGAGATTTGGTGCATATTGTTGATATCTGGGTCGGGCTCATATGAAGGTAACGATCCGAGGGATCGGGAACCGGGCGATGTCGGCCCGACCGATGGGGCCGGTTACCGAATTTACTCGGAGGTACCGAGCTGAGCCTAGGTCAAAGTCAACAAGAGCGGCGGACGACGTCGTTTCCAAGATCGGCACCTTATCTTCCCCGTTACGGAGCCGGACTGGTTAAGTGCCGTGTAGAGATGGGATCCGGAAGACCGGGGGATGGACTGAGTGCCAGAGCCCGGCCTGGGATCCTAGGAGGTCGACCTTCATAAGAGTTAAGGCTCTGGGAAACAGTGAAATGAGGCCACTTGTCAACCAATGATTATCGATGGGACATCCCAGACTAGCCTACAGGTCTAGAATATCTAGCCCGGCCAGAGAGCACGTCCGCATTTAATGCAGCCCACACCAACATTAAATGCCCTGCAGGTAATGATTGGAAGATCCACAAATCACTCCCTATCAGTCAGAGAAACGCCGGCCTGTCTTGCCGAGTTACTGTACGACAAGACCCATGAACATTATCTGAATAGTGTCGCATTTAAGGACCCTATAAATAGAAGCTTTGAGTATTTATTTTGGGTTGTTGAATCCCCAACGGTCTAACTCTCTACTCTCTCTCTCTAAGCTTGTAAACCGTGTAAGAACTTGTAAGGATATCGCAAGTGCCGACCTCGTACGAGAGGCCGACCTCGTGATCAGTTAATAAAATCTTAATTAAATCGCATTTTCTTGCTCTTCTCCCATTTCATATTTCCTTTTCTTATTTCTTTAACCGTTGATCGGAAACGTCCATCAACACATATTATTTTAGGGTTTCATTCGTAAACCAATGAGAGACAAGTCTTTTAGGTGAATGAATTGGTTTCACGTGTTTTGACATGGTATCACAACCCGGTTAAATTTTTTTTCTTTCTCTCAGATTTCAAAAGTCTCGATCAACTGAGACTCAATTTTTTTTTCCGGCTCCTATCGAAAAATAGAGACGAGTAAGTTTCAAAAAAAAA